TAATATTTTCTTTTCTCTGCATTTCCAAGAAATCATCTATATCTTTATCTTTTAACAATTTGGTCTCTGTGCTGATAGGTAATGCAGAGATTCGAGACTTCATCTCTTTTTGATGTACATCAGAATTTGAAGTGTTGTCAGATATATCAGATGCTGGAGCCTTCTCATTTTGCAAGACCATCTGCTTATAAGTATCACTAGAATTTGTTTCAGGGAGAATAGGATATGCAAAAGATTGGCTATCCTTTTTCTGGCATATATCAAAATCAGATATATTGTTGGAACTATTTTTTATCTGTTTAGAAGTATTACCAGAGTTCGTTATGTCTGTATAAATAGTGCTCCGTTTCTCACAAGAGATAATATTAACTGAGGAATGATTGATTTCCTTAGTATCATCTGTTAATAATTTGGAGTTAGTATCAATGCACTAGTTTATAACAAAATCGAGTCTATTAACAATATTCTCAGAAGAATTAACTTTGATGTCTAATCTATCTACAGTATTGTTTTGCAACTGCATCTGTTCTAATTTCAAAATTCTGGATCTAAGCTCATTGATTTTAGCATCTCTTAACTTTGTGTTATTTTCATTCTCTTTTGCAGATTGTTCCAATTCTATGATTCTGGCCAAAAGCCCTATTTCCTTAGTTAAGAAATCAATATTTTTATTTCTAAGCGAAGCATTTTCAGCTTCAACCTCAGCATATTTTTTTTTAATTTTAGTAATCTCAGCTACAAGTCTGTAATTCAATTCTCTCAATAAATTATCTTTAGATTGTGTATTTGCCATTTTTTATATAAAATACAGATATATTCAATTCTTTTATCATGGAGATATATATTCGTGTGATGAAATTTCAAAATACATGCTATATAAACAAAAATAAATAAATAAAATCACATGACTGCGTGAAAAAATTTTATGCTCTATCAAAAAATTCTCAATCATATGCAAGTTAATATACATCGATAACAATATAATAAGATAAATTCATGAAATATATATGCAAAAGTAAACATGATTATATATGTAAAACCGAGCCACCAGTCGGCTTTATTGATACAGAATAAAAATAAAAATGAACAAATTCTATCGCAGGTACTACATACCACATTGCTAAAAACTTAATGTAAATTTTATTAATCTCTTGGTAATAAATTGAAAATACTGAAATTTTCAGCAGAAATTCATGATAATCAACAGAACAGGTAATGGATATTTTAATCCCTGTAGGCCAAGGCAAGAAAGATAAACACACATTATTCCCAAAATGTATGAATATGATTAATCCAAGGATTCGTTTATTATTATATTATTAAAAACAAATTATATTAAATACATGCATAGCTTGTTAGCATAGTTGTTTGTTTTCTACTTTATCCTCAACTACCATGCTAACTAATCATTCGAGCTCTACACTTTCATCTAAGTAATTAGATTTCAATAACTTCAACCAATACATATCATGTTCCTGACTCAGTTTTTTCCTATCCTCAGCTCCTGGTGGCCAATTAATATCTTCATTCATGAAAGATAGGTAGCACTCAATTCTTTCCTCACCAGCCCAATCGAAATCTATTAACATTCCTTGATATTGATCTTGAGATTTGTTAACCAAGATGTTGGAATCACAGAGGTAAGCAAAAATGATATTTTCTTTATGCAATTTGCTGATAGCTTCTTCAATATCTTCGAAAACTGTTTTACATTCATCATGACTAAGCAAATTATTGCAGTTGTAAAGTGGCTTGGCCTTAACATAATCTATCATGACTATATAAAAACTATATACCACCTCTTTGCTAATATAGAGTAATTTTGACGCTTTTCCAATTTCGCTACACAACTCGTATACTCTCTCATAATAACGCTACATGAATTTAACAACAAGTTTCCTCCCGGCCTTTGTTATAGCTTTCCAAAGAAGCTTGTCTAGTTGATCTACAAGCTTTTTTTCATATGTAAATTCTATAGTTGTATCTTGTTGTTTGTATTGATTTGGATAAGGAAAAACCATTGTAAATTTTGTGAATTTGCTATCGATCTATAATACTCCTTTAGCCTATTAAACCCCAAATACAAAGCTTTGAATAGTCATGCCACTTGCTCTGCGTGATCTCGAATGTTTGTAGAAATGAGAGATATGAGGTCTGTTAAGGGATCTATAATGGGTTTCTCAACATACACCGCTTCTAAAACACACACCCAAGGTCCAGCTAAGCATAAGATAAAAGATGGCCAGTTGCACCATTTGAGCAATTTCTCATTTTTTTCTTGGGTATAATATTTCGCATAAGAAGTCCTAGCCTGGGTAGTCAGATCATATTTACCAGTGCCAATTTTATTCTTTATCTCAGCAAGTAGGCATAATATACTAAATGAATAGAAATTACATTCTAATACACCATCATTTGAAGATTCATCATCTAGGCGAATTATTTTTAATTCTTCGCCAAATAATTGTCAAAATTTTTCTCTAAATTTTTTAAAATGCTCATGTTCACTAGGATATATGTTTGCCATTTTATGAATAAACTTAAGAGCCCATTGATAATGTTCTTTTCCCATTTCTAGATCTTCATTATGATAATCACACAGGAACTAATTGAAAACATCATGGTAAACTTGTACTGGTGGGCCAACATATTCTGGAGGATGATGAATAAGTAACTGCTTATCCTTAACATGATATTTAATAAGATTACCAAGAAGTGCAAAGGATGATGGGAAAGGTAACTCTGAATCTTTTTTACGTTTCTTTCTTGTTCTGGACAGATTGAAAAAGTAGTTGAGTTTACAAAATTCTACAGATGCAGACATACATTATACAACCAACCTTTTTCATAATTATCCACTTTGAAAAAATGTTGCTTAGTAGCTGATGAAGATCTGCATTGCAAACGTTATTAGTTGTATCAGAGGCACTCTACATAATAGTTTGCATAC